CCCCCCGCCGCGGCTCACCTGCCCGTCAAAGGCGGCCACGCTGGCGGTGTTGACGATGCAGCCCCGCTGGCCGTCTGCGTCCGGCTCGTTTTTGGCCATGGCTCCCACCGCCAGACGAATCACATTGAAGGTTCCTGCGATGTTCACCTGCACCGCACAGTCAAAGGCCGTCACGATCGACTTTTTTTTTTTTTTACACCCCTCCCTTTTCAGCAATAGCCCAGATAGCGCCGCTCCTGAAAAAAGCCGTTCTACTCGTGTTTGCAGGAGCGAGCGTGTGTACAGATCAACACATTCAATGCCAAGGACATTTGGGGGGGAAGAATCCAGGCATTCCACCCCATCACACATCTCTTTCTTTCTATTTTGAAATGCTTTTGTTTCTTTGATTTTTCACACGGCAGGGTGAAGGCGGGGATGAAAATGACTGTCACCAATCGGGCACAAAGCTCTTACATTGATGACGCGCTGGAAGTCGTCCAAGCTGTGGGGGAGCTCCTTCTTGAAGTTGTACGTTTTGACGGCGACCGCGATGCCCGCGCAGTTGACGGCCAGGTCCAATTTACCAAACTTGTCTCGCGCCAAGTTCACGGCGGACCGCACGTCCGCCTCCGACGTCACCTGCGGGACAAGAGCGGGGACGCATCACGCGCGGAACCTCCTTTGCGCTCTCAAAGCAAAGGACGCTCGCGACTCGAGACCCTTGCCGTGGAAATGGAGGGCCGCAAATGGGGAGGCGGCGAGATTAGTTAGGGCCGGCCGGGGAAAGTGTCGCGGCGAGTCATCGGTGTACTTGCATCCGCCGGAGCGAAGGCGCATCGGTCTCCCAGAGCGGCCGCCAGCGTCGGCCCTTCGGATGACGGCAGGTCCACGATGACGGCGGACGCTCCGCTCCGCACCAGGCGCTCCACCGTGGCCCGGCCCAGGCCCGACGCCCCGCCCGTCACCAGGCCCACCATGCCCTGAGACCGCGGGGAAAAGAAGCCATTTGGCGTTCGTATTACGATGGTCCACGGGTGCAAAACCTTCAAATACTCAACCCGAACGCGTTGCCGCCCGCACCGGCTTAAATGTTTCAAAAAGGGATCCTATCGGAAGCAAATGATTGAGGTGACTGGCAAAGTCCTTTTTGTGTCTTATGGATCCAGGTTACGAGCTACGCTGCGCTCCATCAGTCTCGCGACCCTGTGGTTTTTTTTCACATTCCAAAAGAAGACACGCATACCCACGCGGGGAGACGCGAACCGGAAGGAATTGCTTCATTTTGCATCAAATTCCCAACACTGAACCCTGACCAAGTTACAAAGCTCGTGTCTTTTGGAATTTCACGCGAACACACCGACTGCAACGAGAGAAGAGCGACGTTGCGCCAGCTCCGCAGCCAAGAAGCCGTCGAGGTACGGCGGCATACTTGCGGGCACCTTTAGGAGTTTGGGTTGAATGAAGAGCGCTTGTGACAACATCGGGCTAGCGACAACGTGTTAGCCCGCCGAACCCGCCGCCGCGCAGCACGCGAGACGAGACGAGCGACGGAACCCCATCTGGTGTTTGACACACGGGCAACTTTGATACGTGCGTGCGCGACGGAGCATGACAAAGGTTTCTTTGCTTTTTCACCCCTCTCCTTTACTCACCTTCACACACCGGATGTTCGCCATGTTGGATTGCAGGCGGCCGTGACGTCACGAGCGAGCAAGGAACGCGTCTGGGACACGTGCGTCGCGAAACGTCAACTCTGACGACTTTTTTTAACTTGCCGTAATTAAAATCTGAAAATGACACGCCGCAAACGTTTTATTTCAAAGTCATAAGTTTACAGTGGGCGAACAAAATTAATCAACAAATAATGTGTATTTAAGTCCAAAAGCGAATTTGGCATTTTCAAGAAAGAAAAATGAAGAATATCATGAACCAACGTCTTGGCTTATTTTCCACATTTGAACGTCTTGACTACATTCTGAGGAGGAGGAGGCCGCACTCTTGCGCCATTTGGCTAAATAGGAGCATGGTTATATAATCAGTCCCGAAATTTTTGTCTGAAACAGGGTTTGAGTTTCCCCACCCGGAGCGGCACCATTGCGAGAAGTGAAGCCACCGGCGACCATCTTACGCCGCCACTGGCCAAGTGCGCCCAACTTGACGACGTTGATTTCTCCGCGGCGTATTTCCTATCTTCATGGCAAAAAAATGTCCACGGCGTGTCACGTCCGGTTGCACCAACGAGAGGATCACCACAGGCACATTTCATCTCTAAGAAAGTCACTAGAATTTTTCTCTTCCAAGGTATCGTGTCTAAAAGCATCACCAATAAAATGAAAGCAAAGCCCATCAAGAAAACGCAACGCCCACCTGACCTGTGCAAGTCCTGATTCACAACGTCGCTCTTAAAGAGGCTCTCGTGACTCCCATCGCGTTTTGCCAGCGAAAACACGCACTGATAAGCCTTTTCAGTAGAAACTGCCTGCACCAGTGGCAACTCAAATTGGCCGCCCTCCGGCTTGAGCCGCAAGGGCTTCATTGTTTGTCCGATCAGATACAAGTCAGTGGCGCACACACGGTTGCTGATTCATTTTGAATAGCGAATTTGTCCACATAAGACCTGAGCGGTTTGTTTTGCATGCTGTCCCCTTCGCCTCCTGAACGAACAGCAAATTAAGAGCCTGATTTTTTTCCCGCACCGTTCGTTGCAGTCCTCGGGACGAGAAAAATGTACAGTACAGCACAGTCAGTGACGTGCGGTGAGTTGCATGACTGGCGAGGCGCTACTCTTCTGGAGTCGGGTACAAAAAAAAAAAAAAACAAATGAACCTACAGGAGAGGATTCGCCTAAATTGATATTCTGACCTTCATTGAACGGATGGATGAAACGTGCTTCATATCAGGTCAACCTTTTTGTGGCTGCGGCTTTTTCTTGAGTTTTGCCGTCTGGCATGTCGACGGGCTTCCTCAAGGCATTGCGCCAGGTGAGGAGAGGAGAGCAACGCCGCAAGCTGGCGGCGGCGGGCTTCTTTCTTGGCTACAGCGTGCACTTCGGCTCCATTTTCTAGCCCTAAGAGTGACTAAATATGTCCAAAACGTTCAATGAATTGATGAGACTGTTGAACGTCAACATGCGCAGTAAATGTGTGATCAACGTACATGAAAAGGATCAATCCAAATCAAGCACAGACCACCGAACTCAAATGTCACATAATCATGTTATTATTCATGATGATTTTGTTTTTTTTACCCTTCACATGCAGGGCAAGGGACAGCAGGGTGCGGCACCGCCTCACTGGCCTACCGTGACGGCACGTCCCCGAGTAGAGTACAGTTCTTCGGGCGCCGCCTTCAGGGCAGGCGAGCGAGACACAAGTTTGAAGTGACCTGGGATGAAAACAAGTGTGAGACTGCTGAAATTGCGAACGGTCAGGCGAAGGCAGAAGAACGGAAATGCCATTCACACGGTACAAAGACTTTTCAACCCAAGCCTTTATTTAGCACAAAAGAAAAAGACATTGAGACTGACGTCTCTTTCTTCATGGCCATCTGGAAACCGACCCGCCGACGATCCGGGTTTACTTGTCATTCCGAGTCAAATGATTCCAACTAAAGCTCTCTGGAATACAAGGCTCCAGTCTATCCGAACATCTTTCAGACAACGTTTGGCTTCAACTCTATACTTTTTTTTTTTTTTGGAAGGGGGGGGGGGGGGTACTTTGTTCTCCCTCCCAATGCCTTTCTAAGAGAATTCTTTGATACAGTTGACTCCCAAGATGATTTGTGGTCAAAGTGTTGTCTCGCGCCAGTCTAAAAAAAGAAATAACAATCAAGCACTCAGTCAGTTCATAAAAGAGGGGATCTATTTGGTGTGTAAAGATGCCCCCTCTCCCAACCATTTGTGCCATGATGTCAACATGGGTTTTAGATAGTATGGAATTTTGATATTTCCGAGTACTTCTTCAAGGGGAACTAAAGCCCTGCACTTTTTTTAAAGCAAGGTTTTCTATAAGTGGCAGCACTGATTCATATCGCGCCCGCGGAGTAAGAATTAAACCGCAGAATTGTCACCGCAAGCGAGTAGACCCCATGTTCTAAACATATATTGAAGAATAAATACTTGGTGCGCAGAAACAAACGGCAAGCTAATACGGAAAACGTGCGGATTTGAAATACCAAGTTTGGACATCTTGGTTTTGGTTTGCCTTTGAGGGCAGGAGTTCAATCGGGACTTGATTCTTATTTTCTGACACAACTATCTGTGCTTCTACTTGAGAGTGTGAATAATTTTGCCACCTCTGCAACAGCATTCCTATTCTGAACGTTTATGTTGCACCCTGAAAGCGAAGCAAAGTGAGAAAAGGAACATGCGTGTTTCACATGCGAGCTGTCCCAGATGAAGTTCACCTCAGTACAGCGCAGCCACAAACACTGATTAACGTCCTCAAAGTTGACACGGGCATGTAAGGGCCCTCCCGCCATGGCCAACTCGGCCTCTGTCACCGTGGCGACCAAAGGCGACGCGCCGGATTCGCGGGTGGCCTCTCGTCAAATCAACGGGACGCTTTGGTTGCCGTGAGGAAGACAGTAGGCTGTATAGTCATCTCCCAGATCTGGTGTGATCCTAAAACTATACAAACTACTACCTCATCCCACAGACAGCCCCACCGCCGTTGTCCGGGAAACCAAATGACCGACGTGCCCTTGCAGCCTTTGTGAGGGACGCCGTCAGTCTCAAGCGGGGAAACGGGGATCTTGCCAAGCCTGTGGAGTAGGGAGAAGGGGGGAAAAAAAGTCACGAATGGTTTGCATCAAAATATTGGCATTCAAATTAAGTCATATCATTTTGACAATAAAGTTGTATTCAATTCAATAACTTGCTCATTTCTGAATCAATTCTCATGAGTTTACTCTTTTAGCAATGCCAAAACATATGCGACGGGGAAAAAGACAACTTTGCCGGAGTTGTGACTGAGGGATTTGAGCAGACGAGACCACACCGTGCATAATTTGGCCACAAATGGCTGCAGTGTCTCATGTTTCTTAAACGCCATTTGGTTTTCTTTAACTCCTTATTTTAAATCGATGCAGGGATCTTTTTTTTATTATCAAAAATGTCGTTGGAGGAAAACAAAAGTGATTTTTGCAAACCTTGCAGACTCTTAACAGCTGTCAACTGTATTTCAAAGATCATTTTCATTAAACAGAACACTAACGGTTCGACCCCGTCATGGTTCTTTTGTCGACTCCCAATAACCTCGTCTTGGTCCCCGATGGTGTGCACAACCCAACACGGCGGTCTTTGTTGTTTTAATTATTCTTCGGTACATTGTCGACCCCCTCCCTTGCATCTCTATTTTTCTCAATTTCCTTTTCGTAGTATCCGTGAAGGGAGACTGGCAACGTCAGAGGCACATCTCTCAGTGCCGTCGTGATGTTTTGATGCCAAAGAAACATGTTGCCTCTTGATTCGTCGTCGGGTGAAGGAAGGCGAAATGCGAACCCGATCGCCATTTGAGCCTTGGAGCAAGTTAACGAGCTCGAAAGCAGCCCGCCAAGCTGTCGATGAGCTTTTAACGGCAAAACGGCGTCACGCGTCCGCGAACGTGCGATTGTCGAGCGGCTAGCTGACAGCTAACGGCAGTCGGTGCTTACCCCAAGTCCGCCGCGCAATGAGCGAGCCAAGCCGCGGCTATCCCTTCAGGGGAAAAAAAAGGTCTTCGCTTGCTCCGGGAAGCCTACTCAAGGTGACAAAAAAAAAAAAAAGTAGATCATCTTGTTCACTTTCCATTTCAATTCAGACTGTCATCGTCGCTCGCCATCCTGGTTTTTAGGCTTCTGCTTCTACATTCTTTTGGCGCTTGGCAAACAACCTTTGCTGCTTTAGCGCCACCGTCTGAAATGAGTACGTGGGATGACTATAGTCCAGTACTGTATTTTCTTGCTTGATGATATTTAACCTCGTCTCTAATCTCTGAGGTCCACGCTCATTACAGTATGCCAGTTTTTAAGTCTTTGTACATTCGGCGTTATTTTTTGCAAAAACATCCATACATTTCATCCAGAATCTTCGTTTCAGAGAAAAAAACCATACCCCAGTGATTCTGCAAGCAGGCCTGGAAATCTCACGAGATTTGAAGCTCACGGCGACGAGACTTCAAAGATCACTTCGAATCGTAGATTCGTCCTCAAGTACCGCTTTCATGTGAAAAAAAATGGTTTTAAATCTACGGTCAAATAAAACTCGTATTTGAATGGATATACCGTCAAAATGCAACACTTTCTGCCAACAGCCTCACACATTACAGTTATAGCAATTAACCTAATACAAATGCAGTACTTCATTCCTGGACTTGAGAGCCGTACTTGTTTTTTTTCAAACGACCTGTAACTTTTACTCCCTTCAGTTGAAACCGGACGCCGACAAGGATTTTCCCGAAACGAGTCTCCAAAACAAAAGGAGAAAAAAAAGAAGCCTGGCTGAATTTCTGATCAGCAGTCAAAAAGAATGGGCAGACTTGAGGGGGTTGGAAACTCGTGAAAACGGTCAAGCAGCTGATGTCCTGTGTATTTTTTGTGTGAATTTGTTTTCCTCAATCTGCAAATGACCAATATGGGCATTGTATATACCTGTATATATATTTGACAGGGAAAACAATTGCACTTGAGTACAATTCTGTATAATAGAAAAAAAAAACTTAAAAGGGGTTGAATTAGTTGCAGAAGCCCCCCAAAAGTTATTTGTATTCTGCTTAAGTAGAGTCTCAATACCTTTTCCACATCTGCACATTTAAAATAGAACAATAGTTTTCATTGAGCATTTAAAAATCAAGTGCAGGACACAATTGAGTAAAAACTTGATCAAACCCCATGTCCCCCATGCCCCAAAAATAAGACCTTTTTTTACTAAAAGAATAAATTTTATTTCAGCACTGTAAGTCATTTCCCAACCAGTACAAACATGACTGCCGTGGTTGTCTCTTTCTGAACCATTCCTCCTCCTCTCCATCTGTGAGATCAGACCACCAACACCCGGACGAAAAAAAAAAATGTCACTGACTCTTTCTGTCCTCCTCTCATCTTTCCACAAACAGTCTGGTGCTTCCATAATGCTAACATTGATGACAAATGATACCAACCGTAGTTATAACAGCAATGATGATGATGATGATAATATCTCTCGAACAATAATATCATGGATATATATTGGAACCCTTTTTTTGCTGCACAGGTAGGTTCGGCGGGTGGTCCTGGGTATTGATGTGTATGCTGAAGGCATGCTAGAGCAATGTGGCGGCAAACGCCCACATTGATCACGAGGAGCACCTTTGCAGGGGAGGGGTGGGGGTAGGATCGGGGCACCGGGCTGATTTCTTAATATGGAGTTCGGAGGGATGCTGAGGGCGGAGTGGCAGTGTAGAGACAGACAGATCCGGACCTTGTTCAAACTGGACAAAATGCTGTGAGAATCTTGCAAACAGATCAGGACAGCGCAAGAGACGAGCGCACACCGTTCCACACGTGAATACGTAATTCATGTTTTACGCCGACACTGCACAGCGCTTTTCTTCCCCGGCCGGGACTTGAGCGGGTCCAACATTGTCGGTTGGGCTCTTACGAGCGCCTCCTGCCAGCTGGGGCAAACGGATGAGCGCCCCGCGTGGCTTGGGCACGCACTCAGTCCAGTTGTCCTCGCCAAACAACAGGCGAGATTTTGATCGCGCCCGATCTATTCCCCGAATGGTGAAACAATATCATTTCCCTTTTAATCTGATAACGCCCAATCTGTTCCCCAATTGGTAAAACAACTCCTTTTTTTCAACCTACAAAATTTAAAAATTGACAAGTATAAAATGGCCTCTGCAATCTTAGGCAGGGGTTTCCACTCTAAAATGCTCGCCACAGCTGGTGACGAGTGGAAACAATTGACATGAAATGCCTTCAATTTGACAAAAAAAAAAAACATCCCAGGGGAGAGAAAGGAGGACGCAAACAAGCCGACTAATTGTCGAGCGGCGTTTCTTGACGTGCGCGCGCAGCGGTTGGCACGGCCTAAATTCAGTCCGTGTGGAATGAGCAAATTGACATCGAGGCGCTCGCTGTTCACACTTCCCTGCCTGTTTGTGTCTCCATGACAACCGAGGTCTACAGCCACCCTGACCTCACAGTCTTGTCTGTAAACTCGGGGCAAGCTGTCAACGTTTGCAGGAAGTGGGGATAGACTACGTGGCCTCGGGGAGGCGGGGTGGGGGGGGGCGACACTAGGTGTACTTTGGCTCTCAAGTGAGATGTTCCGCTGCTTTGTGCAAGGGTGCAGAGTTCAGCTTGGATCGACCACAAAATTATCATCAGGGATATTATGAAAATCAACAGTGCAGACGATGGTTCTCAATCGGTAACGGGCAATAGTTACTTACGTACAATAATGGTGAAAGTGTCTAAAGATGCCATATAAAGGTGAGGAAAATCGCAATTATTACAGTTCAAATCTCTAGGTTGGCTAAGCGAATTTCAGTACTAACTGAAGCAATGGTAGAAGGATTAGAAGATGCAATAACATTAAAATAGTAAGAAAAACACATTTGCACAACAGAATTTAACAGGTTTTTTTTTCAGATTTTTTTTTCTGAACTCTTGGCTAGATACATACAGAAACTGATTATTAACGTTAATATAACCTTTACTGTTAGTTGGGTTGATTAAGGGGCAGGGCAGCCTAGAGAGAAAAGCGGCCGATACAAATCATCCTAGGGCTACAGGACAAGCGAGGTGGTGTGGGGAGGGGAAAAAAACGGAGAAATTCAGAAACACTTTATATCATTAGGTGTGTGTGTGTGTGTGTGTGTGTGTGTGAACTAGGAAACTGCCACAGGTGACAACATGATCCCCGCAAAGCAATCAGTGACTAGCTATGAGGCAAACCAGCTCCATAAAAACCTCGGATGGAGATGTAGAGAGTATTTTCAAACTGAATGTGAGCACATTTGTGTCTCGAAAGAATTTGAAATTTGGAAGTACAATATTATCAAGCCGAACGATGCTTACTCCAAAAGACGATGGCACACACACACCCACACACACACACACACACACACACACACACACACACATATATATATATATATATATATATATATATATATAAAAAACTCCCATGACATGGAATTGGAGAACCCAAGCCTTAAGTAGTCTTGTTGCTTTGTGGGGACCAAAACGTGTGTGTGTGTGTTTGTGTGTGCTGAGGAAGATAACGAGCAGAGCACAGCAAAAGAAAACTGTCGGTAGAGGAGGCGCCGTGTCAAGGCAGGGGAAGGAAGGGTGGTTGAATTAGCAAGCATAAGAAAAATAATAATAATCATAAATCACTAATTAAATCCCTATTGAACGAAAACATACAGGGACAAAAGAGGGATACTACATGATGTGTTGTGTTGCTGTTTGAACCATACTAGCTACTGTGTAACTCGGGTTGTTTAACATCTACGTGTGTGTGTGTGTGCGTGCGTGCATGCGTGTGCCTACCCGGAACTTGGAACGTGTATTTTTCATGTGTGTAGGCGTGTGTAGGGATTGCGAGTCAGTCGAATGTGTTACCAAATGATCTCCAATGAACTGACGAGCACTCCACTGGCAACTGAAACTGCACAAATATATCACGTCAGCACGAACGCAGAGAGAATGCTGCTGGTAACAAACGCAACTGAATATCTGTTTGTCCAATGCGTGTGTGTGTGTGTGTGTGTGTGTGTGCGCACGAGTGGCGAGCAAATCGGTAGAGGGCATCGTATAGCAGATCACGCTCTGACCCGTGACGGGAACGCTGTCCTCGAACACGTACTATAGCAATACATGTCCTCATGTCAAAATAGTTGAAAGCGGTTAAGTATGCTGCGGCTCCCGAGAAGTCTGGCCGTCGGGCGCTCTTGGCCAGTGGAGCGATATTCTCTAGTCTAGCCGTGATGTCTTCTTGGCTGTTTAAATCCAATGACGCCCTCACTATGAAAAGGAACGGCGCCGGTCCGAGCGTCGGATCGTTTCCTTTCGTTTGGCGTCCAAGAGGCGAGGGCGAGCGCGGCCCCGGCGGCGAGCGCTCGGGGTCGGCCGCTCGCGGCTAATGTAATGGTTGCGTTGCTAACGAGGGGGATGTCTGACGCGACTACATTGACGCTTAACACACACCCATCTTTTTGTTTCCCATCAAAACGGCATTTTGTCAATTTTGTGGCACGCGAAAGAGCTCACTCAAGTCATCAACGTCGTATGAAAATAAGGTGCTTTCTTTTGTTGACTCTCCTTTGTGAGTCCGCTCAGCTTTCAAAGCCGCAGTTGCGTCAAGGTAACGTGTATTTCCGTTCTCGTGTGAAACCTGCCGTGGGGGACATCCGCTTCTATCCCGACCTAAGTGCTCTAACCAAACAGCGGCCGAGCGTCGGCTCCAAAGGCGAGCGGGATACTCGGCCGCTTCACTCCGACGAAGCCTCGGCCTTGCTCCTCTCGGGCGGGGAAAAGTGCATGCTATCGGTCTAAAGTGACACGCGCCGGAGCTGTCGGCGGTTCTCGACGGCCGCCCGAGGATCGTTCGGGCTACGCCGGCGCACCCCTTTTTCCATCACTGGTGTTCAAATACACTTTGGACTTGACTTTTTTGAAAAGTGACAACGATTCCCGGATAAGAAGAATCGGGCGTCCTTCAAAAGTTCTTGAGCGAACGTTTGGGGCCACTTTGCGGGGTCTGCTTGGAGCTTTCGATATCTGCCTGGCGGCAGTCTTTTTTTTTTGGGGGGCCTGGAACTCTCGAAAGGTGCTTCAAGGTGTTTGACTTGTCCATCACCTGGCAGAGGACCGGCCAGTGTGGTTTTACATCTTGAAAACAA